CACACACACAGCCTCATGTAAACTACAGTAAGTATTGCAAATGCTACTTCTTCCAACAATGGAATTTCTGTTTTTATATATATATATAGGTGTATATATATATGTGTTATTTATTTTAACAAATGCCCCTTCTACCTCAGCAGCACCCCTTCGGGCACTCTATGAAAAGATTCAAGCTAAAGATTCATTTAGCACAAAAATCCAAAATGTACTCATGTAAAAACCATATTATAGATCATCATCATTCTGCTTAACATTAAAGTTGGATAAATATAATATGCATTTTTCATATAAAATTCCTAATGCTTTAAAAGACCTGTTTCTGGAAAATGTCACCATTACTGCTGGAATCAGTTCTCAGGAGCATTCACATAACCACAGTTTGCAGAAACCACAAGTTTGTAGAAAACGATTTTGAGTTGCCATATGTTAACAATGCAGCAAAATGCAATTTCAAAATTCAATATTCACTTTCCAAACATACCTGCGTTTAGGGACTGAAACAATTCTGCCTGTTTTATCTGACCAATCCCAGGCTAATCGACACAGCTCAGTAAGTATTAAGTACTTACAGGTCAAGTCACATAGGTAAAAAACACACATAAAATTTAAAATATTTTGACATGAACAATGCATCTGAGAAAATGCAGTCTACTGAAAGGAAATCCAAAAGAGTGCTAAGAGAGATTAAATTCATTATAAACTACATTGACTAAAAATCAATTGCTCGTCCTTATCAAATATTTCTTTAAATCAAATTACATTATTTACACAGAGCAGAAAAATCCCATTTCATGGCAATTTTCTCATCTAATTTATTTCTCCCAGGAATTTGCCAAAGATCACCATGACCCAACACAGAGAGTAGGGACACAAAGTGAACCCCCTGCTAGCGGTTGAACTGTGAACATGAAGGGCATTGTTACCTTGGCACGCAAAGCCTCTTTCTTCATAGCCAGCATTACACAAGCACTTCCCTATGGGCACTAGCCATTCTCCTTCTGTACTGCAATACATCTTGGGTGGCTCTTCCTCCTTGGAATGATTGACACAAGAACCGCGCACTTCCACTAGCGACTGCGAGTCCATGGGTACCGTGTCGGGAAACACGGCAAGGTTCTTTACAGTGAAAGGGCACTTTTTGAAGTACACTCGCACTGAGACTAAGGCAACGCATGCACCTACATCTTGGAAAGCCAAG